GCGGAGGGGAAGGGAACAGTGGAATTCGTGGGGAGAGAGAGGGACTGGTTGTGGTTGGTGCGGCGGATGCGAGCGAGAGCGAGTGAGGTGGTGGAGGTGGACGTGGGAGGGGGAAGGGGAGGGAGGGAGGGAGGGAACTGCGTATTTTGAAGAGGCTGGCAGCGTCTTTTGGGCTTTTCGTTTGTCGCTTTTGATTGGCGGTGCAAGTATTAAACGGGTGAGCAGTACTGCTAATTTACTTTGCTTGCTGCTTGGAGCAGCCGATTCGTCTCTTCCAATCCAAACCAAGAATTAAGGGCCCTTTGCACTTTTGCAGAAATTTTATAGTAGATGATGAATTGGCACGGGCTTGGGAAACGCTGAGAACAGGCGTATGGAATACACTGTATCCCGAAGGTGTACCAGTGCACCAAACCGTTGAAAAACATGTTTACAAATTGCTGAAAGCTCAAATCAGTTTTATAGGGCAGAGACGATACACATCTACTAAGTCAATCGGTTGCAACAAACTAATTGTCAATTCAGATAATCTTAAGGTTATCAGTACGATGAATGAAGGAGGACGATCTGCAGGTACATCGGCTCTAATCTTTGGTGATTGCTATCATATCGCATGCAACTTCTCTTATACCTCGTTTGCGCACTATCAGGGAGGCTAATTGTGTTGCTCCTAAATTAGCAATTGGCTAAGGGCCCGTCTAGTAATAGTTTCTTTTTGTTGAGCCTCCTAGCGAGCTCATCCCTCTCATATTAAATGTTGTAATGTTGACTGAATCGTAAATAAGAGAGGGATGTGATATAAAAACAAGTCCAAATTCAAATTTGATTTATAAATTCACGTGTAGAAATGATAATTCAGGCATGACGACTCTATCCATAGATGGATTCATCCTTTTTTAGTTGTGGGTTGAATTTGGATCTAGAGAATCAATGACATGCTTTATATATGTTGTACGAATGTTGCTTTTCTTTACACAAAACAGGAAATCAAACTAGGAGTCGTTGAAAGTGCCGGTACAGGACCATCCTTTCAAAAATAGACAATAACTCACAAGTCCTTAAGTATGTTGATGTTGTTCTCCTCCGGGACTCGCTGGCGGCACGCCATGAGCAAATCTTGATGCCGTGTATGGATCTCTAGAACACTCTCGGAAGCCAGGGTAACATTGCTAATGTAGCAACCAAGAAGGCATCGGGTAGAGCCCGGAAAAGTTAAGGACAATGAATGGAGAATCATATCGCAATCCCGAGGAAGAAGTCAACAAAGAGGGTTCGACAATCGCCCCCAATCCTTCTAGACAAAACCAAGGATGCCTAACCTCACGAGATTCTGGACGAAACCGAAGCTGGCATGCTTCGCCAAACAGAAAAATAAACCAGAAGACCAAGTTACGAAATTGTTATCATCCACTCTAATTAACGACACTGTCGTAGACAACTGAGACGAAACGTAAAAAAAGTGGGGCCTTGGATCTAGTCATTACCGAAACACCATACACCCTCGCCAATGCCAATTGACATCACCCGAACAAGCACATGACAGAAATAATTCATTACACATTGTTGGTGTGTCCTCGACGGCAAGAAACTCCACAACCGATCCCAAACCAGGGTCCCCCACCCCACCTCGCCAGCACCAGAAGGAACCCAGAGTCGGCTACAACCCGTCTCCTTTGTCTTTCGTGAAATGAGGTAGAGTCGGACTCTATGCGAAGAAGGCTCATTGGGCATGTATTGGTTGGGTTCAAGGAGATGATATAGTTCGGAATAGGTTTTGGTGCGATATGAAACAGATTCTATACAAACAGGTGGTCCGGTCCATGGAGGGAAAAATATATTCAATCTCCTAAAATACATATATGATTTATGGGGACAATTGTATTATTTTCTAGCCAGGTGGCAGTTGTAACGTATTTCATTCCCATCTCGCATGGGACTAGGGCAAAGCCTTCCTCCCATCGGTCTCCATTAGCGAGCTTATGAATTCTCCTGTCCTTTGGCACCCACTCCGGCGACCGGTGGCAAGGAGGGCAATCCTGATGCCCCATCTCTAGCTAGTAGATGATAATTCAGGGGTCTTAATCTTCTTCTTTGACTCAGTCTTCTAGGCTCCTATCCTCCTCAAGTTGTCCATCAGGACGGAAAAGACAGAGCTCTGGCGTAGATTCATGCAAGCTCCTCGGGGTGGCGAGGTTAATGTTTCTCATCGTGCGTAAGCGATAGCGACATTTGGTGTTAGGTTCTTCGGATCGACTCAAGGGTTCAATGGCGACTACTCTGCCTTTAGGGCACTCGTCCTTAGGGGCACGTGCACTAAGACCTCCTAGTTGTTATTTACAAAGTTAGGTTGGCTCCGTTATGAGGGTGGGGACATCAGCGTGTCGACGACTTGTTCTAGCGGTGACAATGTGTAAGATCGAAAGTAGGTCTAGAGAGGGGGTAATTAGACTACTTGACCAAATAAAAATCTAGCATTTTTCCAATTTTAAGTGTTGGAAGATTTTAGCAACTAGTACAAGTCAAGCAATCAACTTACATATGCAATTCTAAGAGTGTAGCAGTGGAAAGTAAAACATTGCACGTGAAGGTAAAGGGAAGGGTTTGGAGAAGGCAAACACAATGTGGACACGGAGATTTTTGGCGTGGTTCCGATAGGTGGTGCTATCGTACATACATGTTGATGGAGACTTCAACCCATGAAGGGTAACGGTTGCGCAAGTCCGTGAAGGGCTCCACCCACGAAGTGTCCGCGAAGAAGCAACCTTGTCTATCCCACCATGGCCATCGCCCACGAAGGACTTGCCTCACTTGGGTAGATCTTCACGAAGTAGGAGATCTCCTTGCCCTTACAAACTTCTTGGTCCAACTCCACAACATGTTGGAGGCTCCCAAGCGACACCTAACCAGTCTAGGAGACACCACTCTCCAAAAGGTAATAGACGGTGCGTTGATGATGATCTCCTTGCTCTTGTGCTTCAAATTATAGTCTCCCCAACACTCAACTCTCTCTCACAGATTTGGCTATGGTGGAAATATGATTTGAGTGGTAAGCAACTTGGGGAAGGCTAGTGATCAAGATTCTAGTGGTAGGATTGGGATGTCTTGGTCTCAACACATGAGTAGGTGGTTCTCTCTTAGAAAATGAGTAGTGGAAGTGTAGGCACGTTCTGATGGCTATCTCACAAATGGAGATGGGGGTGGAGGAGTATATATAACATCCACACAAAATCCAACTGTTACACACATTTGACCCAACTCGGTCAGACCGAATAGGAGAACTCGGTGAGACCGATTCAGTTTAAAATGTGAATGTTAGAAATATCGGTGGGACCGACTGGAACAACTCGGTGTGACCGATGTGCTAGGGCTAGGGCAAACATCAACTCAGTGTGACCGATTACTTCATCTCGGTGAGACCGAAGTGGAGTAATAGGCAATAGAGTGAATGACAAGTAATCTTGATGTGACCAATTTCACTGACTCGGTGAGACCAAAAGAGTGAAACATGTCACAGTGGGAATGCATGGCCATCTCGGTGAGACCGAGATCCGTATCAGTGTGACCGAACTGTCTAGGGTTTCTGGCAGTGGCTATGTCAAATGAACTTGGTGGTGCCGGATAGAGTAGATCAGTGGGCCAAGTTTGACTTTGAGGTTTGGACATATTTGGAGTGGGAACATGGTTGAGGCTTTTTGGAGCAATATCACTAAGCATGTGAGCAAGTAGACCATTAAGCAACACCTCATCCCCTTTTAATAGTATTGGCTTTCCTATGGACTCAATGTGATCTTGGATCACTCAAATGTAAAATGAAGAGTCTTGAGCTTTTGCCAATCTTTGTCCTGAGCATTTTGAGGGGTCCACATCTCTAATCCATGCCATGCTAATCATTGAACTCTCTGAAATAATCAACTTGAAAGATCATTAGTTCAATGAGCTATATGTTGTTATGAATTACCAAAACCACCCGGGGATTAGTTGCACTTTTAATCCCCCCCTTTTTGGTAACTAATGACGATATATAGATCAAAGCTTCGACAAATGATAATATGAATGAAATATATCGTCGCTTTGAGAAGTATGTGATAAGCAAGAGCTCCCCCTAAATTTGTGCACTATTTAAAATTTGCATTTGAATGCAAATGCATAATCGATTAGGATCATGGGGCACTCTTCCATGTCACATACATCTTGGTGAAGCGCTCAAAATGATACGAGTTAAATAACATGCACTCATCACCAAGGGTAGAAGTGATTGATCATACACAAGTATTCATGGATATAAGCATGCAAGCACACATTAAGCATAGTATGATTAAACACATGATCACATAAGTATCTCACTGGCATAACACAAATTGTAGCAGGAATCAAACAACCAAATGATCAAAGTATCAAGTAGAAAGGAAAAGCAAACCAACAAACGAGAAAAAGACTCTCTCTCTCTCTCTCTCGAAGCCTAT